CGCACTTGAATCATTCATGCACTCGAGTCGTGAATTCGTTTGCGCCATTAATGCGAATGAGTTGGCAAGTTGGCAGCTGGCGTTGGCAGGGCTTTCGCTTTTCAGTGAGCCCGCTTCGCCAGCCAGGTCAATGTGCGCGCCCCCGCATCTGCCCCATTTGTGGGGGTCAGCCGCAAAAAGCAATTTGCAGCACGCTCGACTGGAAGCCGCAGGAATGTCAGGCCCCAGTTTTTCTTCCAACTTTCGAGCATTAGAATTCGCTAAACCGCAAATTGTCGATAAGAGAAAGAGAAAGAGAATGAGAGAGAGAGAGAAGGAGCGGTGGGGTGGGGAGAGCTGGATGAGCGTACAAGTGGAACGCCGCTCCATGCCATTTGTAATTTCCGTCCGGGCAGCTCATTAAACGCTTTGCGAATGCAGGCAACGAACTGAAGACAAAAGTCTTGGCCGTTTGTTCTTATTGGTTCGCTGATTCGCGACTCGGTTAAGCGTGTAATGGAGCGGATGTATAGCATGGCTGTCAACACTCGCCGCCACCAAACGCCACCTGGCGGCCAAGAGAGATCCACTAGCCACGACTAATCGGCGTTTCTTCTTTTCCAATTCTTTCACTTGCAGATGCAAACCGCAGCAAGCAACAGCAGCAGCAGCAGCCGGAGTCGAGGCAGCAAAACACACAGAACGATCTCTAACGGGATGCTGCTCCTCGCGCTGGGACTGGCCGTGCTGATGGCTCTGCCCGGCCAGGCCGCGGCACGCATGGCCTTCGAGAAGCTGACAGACTACGATTTCGCCGGCACCACGTACTACAGCGTCAAGAATCTGTCGCTGTACGAGTGCCAGGGCTGGTGCCGCGAGGAGGCCGACTGCCAGGCGGCCGCCTTTAGCTTTGTTGTGAACCCATTGTCGCCGTCGCAGGAGACGCACTGCCAGCTGCAGAACGACTCGTCGGCAGCCAATCCTTCCGCAGCGCCCCAGCGCTCCGCCAACATGTACTACATGGTGAAGCTGCAGCTGCGCAGCGAGAACGTTTGCCACCGCCCGTGGTCGTTCGAGCGCGTGCCCAACAAGATCATCCGCGGCCTGGACAACGCCCTCATCTATACCAGCACCAAGGAGGCCTGTCTCTCCGCCTGCTTGAACGAGAAGCGCTTCATTTGCCGCTCCGTCGAATACGACTACAACAACATGAAGTGTGTGCTCAGCGACTCAGATCGCCGCAGCTCGGGTCAGTTCGTCCAGCTGGTGGATGCCCAGGGCACGGACTACTTTGAGAATCTGTGCCTGAAGCCCGCCCAGGCCTGCAAGAACACGCGCTCCTTTGCCAACGCACGCATGGGCGTCTCCGAGGAGAAGGTGGCCCAATACGTCGGTCTGCACTACTACACGGACAAGGAGCTGCAGGTGACCTCCGAGTCGGCCTGCCGTCTGGCCTGCGAAATCGAGTCGGAATTCCTGTGCCGCTCCTTCCTCTACCTGGGCCAGCCCCAGGGCGCCCAGTACAACTGCCGTCTCTATCACCTGGACCACAAGACCCTGCCCGACGGTCCATCCACCTATCTGAATCACGAGCGCCCCCTGATCGATCACGGCGAGCCCATTGGCCAGTACTTTGAGAATCAGTGCGAGAAGTCGGCAGCAAGCGCTGGCGCTGGCTCTGGCAGCACTCCACCCGGCACGCTGGACAAGATCGACACTCTGCCCGTCAGCCTGGACACCATCGAGGACCCCAACCTGACCAACATGACGCGCAACGATGTCAACTGCGACAAGACCGGCACCTGCTACGATGGTGGGTGATCCTAGCTACACCAAATGGAGCCAGGCTCTAATTGAATCTCTCTCTTCTCTCTCTCTTTGGGTACCTCCTCCCACCCTTAGTTTCCGTGCACTGCAAGGACACCCGCATTGCCGTGCAGGTGCGCACCAACAAGCCATTCAACGGACGCATCTACGCTCTGGGCCGTTCGGAGACTTGCAACATCGATGTGATCAACTCAGATGCCTTCCGCCTCGATCTTACCATGATTGGACAGGACTGTAACACACAGAGCGTGGTAAGTGGAGGAGTTCAGTTAACGAATCGAGACAGCTGCCTGCAATAACTTCATGAATGTGCTCCCTAGACCGGCGTCTACTCGAACACGGTGGTGCTGCAGCACCACAGCGTCGTGATGACCAAGGCGGATAAGATCTACAAGGTGAAGTGCACATACGACATGAGCTCCAAGAACATTACCTTCGGCATGATGCCCATCCGCGATCCCGACATGATTCACATCAACTCATCGCCCGAGGCGCCCCCACCAAGGATTCGCATCCTGGACACACGCCAGCGCGAGGTGGAAACTGTGCGCATTGGAGATCGTCTCAACTTCCGCATCGAAATACCAGAAGACAGTGAGTACATCAGCTTGGCTGTGCCTAGCAGTCTAGATCTCATTGCTAATGTTGCCTCTCTCGTTCTCAGCTCCCTATGGCATCTTCGCTCGCAGCTGTGTTGCCATGGCCAAGGATGCACGCACCAGCTTCAAGATCATCGACGACGATGGCTGCCCCACAGATCCCACCATCTTCCCCGGCTTCACCGCCGATGGCAATGCGCTGCAGTCGACCTATGAGGCATTCCGCTTCACCGAGAGCTACGGCGTCATCTTCCAGTGCAACGTCAAGTACTGTCTGGGTCCCTGCGAGCCGGCCGTGTGCGAATGGAACATGGAATCGTTTGAGTCTCTAGGAAGGAGGCGTCGTCGTTCGATCGAGAGGTGAGTATTCAATGAGTGTTAAACAATGCTAGACAATATATAAATATTCATCCCCCTCTTTCTCTCTTCCCCATTAGCAACAACACCAAGAGCGAGGATCATATGAACATTTCTCAGGAGATTTTGGTCTTGGACTTTGGTGATGAGAAGCGTGAATTCTTCAAGGCAGATCCAAGCACGGACTTTGCCAAAGGTAAATAACTGATCTATTACTATATGATATAGAAATTAATTTACATGGGCCTTATCTAAATGGAGTTCTATAATCATATTTGTTTCATGTCTCACCAACTTATTTCTACAATATGCAAGCTTACTTTATGTCATTCTCTTCCTCTAACCTAACCTCAAATACCAATTCTCTTACCATCTTAATCCCAACAATTGGAGACTCTTTTTCTCTTCATTCCTTTCATTCCCATACACAAGAGAGTAACATATTCTAATCATTCCATCTCTTTTCCGCCTACAGACAAGACTGTTACCATCATCGAGCCATGCCCCACGAAGACGTCTGTGCTGGCGTTGGCCGTTACCTGCGCGCTCATGATCCTGCTCTATATCTCCACATTGTTCTGCTACTACATGAAGAAATGGATGCAGCCGCACAAAATCGTAGCATAAGTTAAGGCGGGACACAATTCTTTATGCAATGTGTAGAAGGAGCAGTAAAGAGAGGAAAAAAAGAAAACAAAAACCATACAGAACCCACAAATTGTCACCATTCCATACAGAGATATATACACAAACATACACTACCACACATTCACGCCTACTCTCTCACACGCTATGTCTATTTCTCTCGCCTATGGCACGCTTGTCAGCGCTCAGCGCTCTCTCACGAGAGAGAAACCGGCAACGAGAGCAACAGTGCAGTTAATTAGGAAACGGAGCCTTAGCTTCGGCTTGCAATGGAAAACAATTTAAAAAGAAGAAAAACGAAAAAACAAAATAGTGAGAAATTGAGAACAATGAGGATAAAGAAAGTCTCCACAAACACACACACACACATATATACACATAGAGCAGCTGCCTGGCAAGCGTATATTTTTTGTTTTTTTTTTTTTTTGTGAGCATTAATAACTATATATACAATTTATTTATTTATATTTATTTAGATTTAGAACGTGAGTTAATTTGCAGCAGACTGGCTAGGCGAATGTGCCAGCCTTAGCCTATTTTTTTATATAAACTTATTTTCTAACGTTTAGTAGACAAAACAGAAAGCGAATTGCACATTTACATTTAAATGCGAATATTAATTTAACAAATTTTTCAAATGAAAAAAGAAATGAACGCGAAGGAGGAACTGCGAGCGCGTACTTTCTATAAAGTTATGAAAGAGACGCTGAATCGTAAAGCCAAGTAGCACCACGAGCACGTGACAGAGACAGGGACAGAGGTATGGAGTGAGCTTTAAGCTCTAACGATCGTTCGCTTTTATAACTTGTATAGAGACTGCGGCCGCAGATGCACATACTCACACACATATACACAGACACACACCCACTCATGCAAGTCCTACTAATTTCCCATACACACACACACAAATACAAACGCATACACACACGCACATACTCACATTTATTTAATATAACAATATAAAATAAAAAACAAAAAAAATATATATTAAAAAAATGAGAAGAAAGTTTAAGAAGCAATTAAAGGCAATAAAACAGCAATAACAAAAAAATGAGAAACAATAAAAACGAGCGATCAGAAATGAAGCAAAAATAACTAATTTCATAGTTTGTACAATGAAATTGTGCTTAATTGTATTGCATTTATTTAATTTAAATCTATTTATGATAATAAAGAATGATAATACAAACGAAAATGCGTCATCTCTGCCTTGAAAGTTGAGTATCCTCAGATGCTCAAAACTTGTTTAATATTTCATTTTAATTTTATACATATGTCCAATTGGACTTTTCCCAATTCCAATGCACAGCAAAAATGAATTTCCCATTAAAGAAAAAACAGTGTTTTATTGAAGTTTTTAATTTATTTTTTTAAACCAATGGTTCGTATTGAGTAAGCGTTAGTGACAAAAAAAAAGAGAAATACTTGATGAAGTTAAGATATTTTGTTTAGCATTTGACTCTTGTAGCAGCGCCTGCAGTTAGTTCGATAAGTTATCGAATCGGCGATAACGACAATTCATACTTATTTGAGTTCTGGTTGTTGCGGGTGCGTATGCTGATTTGTTTGTTTGATTTCTTTTGAGAGTGCATGTGTGTGTGTGTGTGTGTGTGTGTAGTTTAAGTTAGCCTGGTTAATATTAAATGAAACTCAGAGAGGCGACACCAGCTAATCAGCACTAGCCCTTGAGACTGGTCATGCCCGCACGCATCACCTCGTCAACGAGCAGCAAATTGCTGGCAATGATGGAGCAGGAGTTGAGGATCTGCTTCTTGACAATGTAATTGTCATAAACGCCGAGGTCAGAGGGTTTCATGGGCTCGCCAGTGGACAGGTCAATGCCGACCAGCTCCGGGCTGAGTCTATCCTCAACCGTCAGCTTAACAATGGTGTCCTGAGCATCGTAGCCGCTGTTGACAGCCAGTGTCTTTGGAATGACCAGCAATGCATCGGCGAACGCCTGAACGGCCAGACGGGCCTTGCCCTTAACACTGTCCTTATACTTAACCAGCTCGTTGTAGGCGCGCACCTCGAAGGCGCCAGCGCCAGGCACCAGGGCCTTGTCGCCAATGGTATTGTTGATGGCGCGCAGACCATCACGAATGGCGTCCTTGATCTGGGTAATGGTGTGCTTGTTGGGGCCCTTGATCAAAATTGTCACCGACAACGGATTCTTGCAGTCCTCCACGAAAGTGTATTTGTTCTCGCCGAGAACATGCTCGTACACGGAGCCAGCATAGCCCAGATGCTCCTCCTGCAGATCATCGAACGAGTTCATGGCAGTGCCACCGCAGGCAAGAGCCAGACGCTCCATGTTGCGGCGCTTAGCGCGACGCAGAGCCAGAATGCCCTCCTTGGCCAGAGCGTCCAGCGAAATGGGATCAATGCCCTTCTGGTTGATCAAGACGAAACTTTTGTTGGTGCCATCGCACACGGCACGCTTCAACTGGATGACCTTCTTCACGCGTTGGTCAATGAACTCACGCTCGGCACGCACAAAGGCCTCACGCTCCGCGGCCGTTTTGTAGAAGAAACCCGAGTTCACCTCGGCCTTCTCGTACTCCAGCGAGACGTTGGCAGTCAGGATGTAGGCGTTCTCCAGGCGCTTGGGCATATCGGGATGACGTGCTCCATGATCCATGACCAAACCGCGCACCAGCTGTGTGTCCGTGTCGGTCTTATGCTGCATCTCCATCAGCTCGACCATGTGCAGATCGATGGGTACCTTCTTATCGTTGGAAATTGTCAGCACTGCATCAACGCAAACCTCCGTCAGCAGGTCTGCAAGCAGCGGATGCACCTTGGTTCTTAAACTAGTGTTGGCAATCTCCATCAGATTCTTTTTGTTGATATCGACTGGCACCTTGACATTCTCGAGCACTTCCAGCGCCTTGTCGCGTGCCTTCTCAAAGCCCTCTGCCATGATGCGTGGATGCAAGCCCTCCGACAAATAAATGTCGGCCTGTTTCAGCAACTCGCCGATTAACATCACCGTGGTGGTGGTTCCATCGCCTGTGGAATCATCCTGTGCTGTACTCGCACGTGCAATCATCGATGCAGTCGGATGTTGGATTTGCATATCATGCAGCAGAACGTTGCCATCCTTAGTGATCTTAATGTCTCCAGCGCCGGAGACCAGCCTGCAAGAAATTATTAATTTAAGCAGAATTAAGATAGGTTTAAGGCTCATACCGATCAATAATATATATAATTTATAGATTTAGCATGTATCCTTATGTGCATTACCCATTCACTGACAAGTTTTGATAATAAATATTATCTAGTTATCGATATTTATCTATCATCATGTGCGAATGTTCGAGAATCCAAACAAATTATGACTCCATATGTTTGTGTGGGCTCGCATATGTATTAGTGCATATGTGTGCGTGAGAGCGCGTGAGGTATGACACTGACAAAAAAAGCTGTATGAGCATGTCGATTTGCAGACGCTCAGAAAGCAAATTTTGTTTGAAAATGTAACATACCGAATGTTTAAGCATAGGTTTCATTTAACATATTATTTTAAGCAATAGCATGTAAGTTTTAGCACTTGCATTTGTAGGCTAAATACGATATGGCTGTCTCAGTCACTCGATGACGCATGCCGCTATTCGAAAGCAACAAGAACGATTTTAACCTCACTCGAGTAGCGGCCGCACAGATGTCCGAAAAAGTTTGTTAATTACAATGCTGGTTTTGTGTAAAAGCTGAATGCACTCCGCATGTGCTAGATGCATGCTTTAAATTCATATTTAAGTTAATATACTTACATTTTAACTGTGCCTTTCGGTCCCAAATTGGTTCGCATTACATCCTGCAGACCTTTGGCGGCGCTGATGTTAATTGCCAAAGCTTGTGCGGCACGCGCAAATTCAGCCTTTGGGTTCAACAAGCTGATGGAAGCCATTTCTGTAGTTCAATTACTAACAAATATTAAATTGAGAAAATTAAATGCAAGTGCAACAAACACGCCGGACCAGTTGTTGAAGAAGAATCACAGAGATGTCGATTTTACTATCACTGTGAGTAATTGTTACAGACAATCGAGTACTTATGGCGCTATCGATATCAAAACTATAGGATAGTATGCTGCTCGCACAATATGGCAATGAATTGTATATTTCGTGTACCAAATGCGTTTGATTAGGCAACTCAAATGAATGTATCTTATACATTTTAATTAAATTTTTTTTTTTTTTCAAGCTTGAGTATGATTAATTACATTAACTATTGTTGCTGTATGTACAATGATTTCAGATGGATAATATCGATATAATTGGTAGGGCTGTCCAGTGAACCCTGCCATTCAGTAATGAAAACTAGCAAGTGGACAGCGCTAAATAAAAACATGTTTGCTTTTCTAGTTGTCCGAAAATTCTGTAATAACATTATATAGTCAAAATCTAAATTATGTGTTCTGCATGGAGAGTAAAAATGTTTTGCGCGTTATTTGCTTCCGCTTATTAATTGAAATGGCCAGTTTATAAATCTGATGTATTTAGTGGGCCACATTCTGCCATATTATAAACAAATCTTTGGTGTGACAAATATACATACATACATATACATAGGTTTAAATGTTTGTTAAACCATTTGGCTAGCATAATAATAAGACTCCGATACCGATAACGATATACACACACCAATACATAGCACGCATCTCTAAACGAAACTAATTCGGCGACAATTTTTTTTTTAGTTGAAAGAAATTAACACAAAAAATTAAATCAGTGCAGTGCTCCCACATATCCAGCGTGGAACGGGACGCCAAAAAACTAGAAAAGATACTGTTCGAGGTGGAATAAACAAACTCGTGTGGGGCACGATGAGTGTGTTGGCATATCCACGTAAAAATGATGAGGAAATTTTTCGTCAATGCACAAAGGATTGTGGCGTTGTGACGGCCACCGAGGACTTTCAATCGTTCGCCTTGTGCTGCATTTTCTGCAGCGAAAAGTTTCTCTACTTCGATGCATTTATTGGCCACATGCAAACAGTGCACATGGAGGACGCGCAACGCTCCATGGAGGGCTCTGGCTCCGCCACGGGAGCCAGCATGTCCTACCCCATGAGCCAGCCCATGTCGCTGGGCGTAGCCGATGACGATGATGAGGGAGTGCCGCACGACTACGCAAACAATGGCATGCACCAATTTGATGAGATCGAAGACTTGACCGACGCAGACACTGCCTTGCTGGAGCCCCAAATGGTGATTAAACAGGAGATGCATGAGCTGGACAGCAGCAACGGAGACGACGCCGAAGACATCGACGACGAGGAGGAAGAGCACGCCAACAACCTCCCAGTGCCCGACGATAATGACAACGACGATGTCGATGATGAGAGCGAAGCAATACTGCCCGAAAACGATGTGCCCACACCCAGCGCCAGACCTCGCATAAAGCTGAGGGGACCACCGCCACAGCCAGCCCGGCACAGGGTCTCCAGAATACATGTCAAAAGCGAGCCCCTGCCCATCGAGGGCGATGAGTCCATGGACGAGTACGGCGAAAACGAGGCCGAGAGCTATGCGGACGACAATTCCGGCGAGTATCAAGACTACAGCAGCAGCAGCTACAATGCGCAAGGCACCAATCCGCTGGCTGGCGAGTCCGATTTCCTCAGCTACGATGAAATGGTTGAGGAGTCTTTAATTGGTGTAAGTCCTGTGCAGCTCATGCACTGAATCTATGCTCTTATCCTTGTTCAATTTGTGATACCAATTGCAGCGGGATCGTGAGCTGACCATGCACATCAAGGATCGCAAGATGATACAATTCCTGATACACTCATACAAGCGGAATCCATTCCTTTGGGATCACAGTCACGCCCAGTTCCGGGATCGCGTGAAGCGTGCCCGCTTCCTGGACTGGATTGTGCTCGAGTTCAAGAACCGCTTCAACATCTCCCTGGCCAAGGATGCCATCACACGCAAATGGGACAATTTGCGCACCGTCTACAAGCGGGAATGCAATCGAATGGCACTCGAAAAGACGAATATCAGCACGCTGTGGTACTTCAAGGAACTCCATTTCCTCAACGAGGTCTATAGCTATAACTCGAAAATGTCCGATGCTGTTGTGAAGGTGAGTCCATCTATTAAATATATATATATATACATATATGGAGTATATATATGTACGTGTAATTCAATACTCCACGGCTGGTCTATATTCGCTACTGGGAACTGATATCTAACACAATACAAATGATAACAACATAAACAAAGCTGATTTGAATCAAGCGATCGGTTACACTCAGAATTTCATTTATACTGACTAAGAAACATTTCAGGTTTCCCAGCTAATTATAATATAAAGTGTATCGATTACTGCATACATTTGAAATATTTTCATCATAATGTCTCTGAACATGGTGAATAACTGTTCACAGAATTTTTGATTTCACACAGCTCAGATCTATGCAAATTTGTTGGTGCTTAAGTTAACTTGATTTTATTGCTCAGTCTTTGTCACAAATCATCTTTTGTATTTCTAGCCAATTTTTATATAGAAATATGATTCATATTTGTTTTCTTTTTTTTTCAAATAAACAAATATTGTGCCCCATTATAAACCAGTTTTCGACCGGTTTATAATATTTTCATATACTAGATAAATAAATTATATAATGTTATGCAATAAACTATATTAATAGGGACACAGATAGATATAAAAACGATTTATGTATATTACCTGAATATGTTTCGAGTGCAATGTAGTTTTATAAAAAAGGATTACATGGACAATAGGCTTATTTAAATTGATCAGATAAATTTGATAAAACTCTAATGAACGTACAAAAATGTAATTTATTAATAAAAATTGTTTGCACTGATATGAGGATATGATATAATATACATAAACTTAATCAAGTTCCCATGATTTTTCTCAAATTGTATTAATAGAACTGTTTATAAATAATATATAATATATATTTATAAATATATCGGATTTAGGGGCTATTTTTATTTTTATTATGCCTATAAACAAACTTATAACTGATCTGAGTTTTTAAATAACGTCAATTTATTTTTTAATGTAAAAATCGTAATAAAAGCGATTGTAAAAATTAAATTAATGTGATGCTTTTACTTTGTAATTAAATAATATTTTTTTTATTTGTATAATTGTTATCTATTAAATTAAATATTACCATTTTTTGCTAGTTCAATTTTCGTAGGATAATCAGTTAACTAATTGTGTATTCGTTCGCAGGAAACGTCATACCGGCGTCGCTTCTCGGCCATTTGGAACGATACGTCGACGGCGAAGCTGTTGGTGATGGTGAAGCGTTATCAGTGCTTTTACAATCGGTTCGATCCGGACTATCGGAGCAAGGAGCGCCGGGGCGAGGGACTGCAGCAGATGGCAATGGAACTGCAGCAGCTCATCGATGTGACCACCATACAGATATCAAAGCGAATCTCGCAGCTGCGCTTCGACTACTCCAAGCAGAAGAGCGAGCGTTTGAATGCGGAGCGAATGGGTCGTAAATTCATACCGAACTATATCTACTACGATCAGATGAGTTTCATGGACGATGACATACCGCCATTCAAGTGCCAGCATTGCGGCGAAATTGTGCAAACGCTGCGCGAACTGGATCTCCACATGCTCAGCCATCAGCCGAGCCTGGGCGGCGGCTACTACTGCAACGTGTGCAACATTCAGTTCAACAATGCGGACGAGTTCGAGAATCACAAGCAATTGCATCTGGGCGCCGGGCACGAGGTCAAATATAACTGCGAACTGTGCACGGCCAGCTTTCGGGAGAAGTCCAACTACGACGAGCATTTGCGCCGCCACAACGATGAGCTCTTCCTGCCAACGTTGGCTCTGAACCACAGCATCCTGGACAGCGCCAGTGGGGACGTGGACGGCGGCGACGGGCCATCTATTGTGGGGGCCGGCGAGGAGGAGGATATGTTTCCGCCGGACGGCCCGAAGCCGTTCGCCTGTGAGGTATGCCATCGCACCTTCGCCTCGCCGGGCCATCTCAATGCGCATCGCATTGTGCATCAGGATGAGCGCGAGCGATGCTACAAGTGCGACTATCCGCAGTGCAGCAAATCGTTTGTGTCCCGCCACAGTCTGTTCGACCATCTGAAGCAGCACTACAGCAACGAGGAGTTCAAGTGCGACATCTGCGGCAAGATCTTCAAGTCCACCAAGAATCTGCAGAACCACAAGCAGATCCACGACAAAGTCAAGCGCTACGTCTGCCAGATATGCGGCTCGGCATTCGCCCAGGCTGCTGGCCTCTACCTGCACAAGCGACGTCACAATCGTCCCAATGGCACCACCGGCGCCGTTGGCGGTCGATCCAGCCGCACCACGCTGTGAGCGATCCGTTCCAGACCCAAGCGGTTATCCTGATATGTGTTTTGCCTCAGATCAAGCACAAGCACGAACATACATACACACACACACAAGCACATACATACAAATTATTTCTAAATTATTGCAATGTCCTCCAATGCCAATGTGCGGCAGCTATTTTAAAATCGTTTTTTTTTTTTCTTTGGAATAATGTATTAAATTAGTTTAAGTTTTTTTTATGATTGTAGAAAAGCGATTATTTTTAATAATTGTATTGATTATTAGTTATTTCAGTTAATTATTTAGTGCCCCCCTCCTTTCCCTTAGCAACTTTTTGGCGCTTCCTCTGAACGAAGCGCTTTTCACAATTGTACTTAAACTAAACAAGTATTGCAAATTGTCCGCAACTAAGCCAAGAACTTTAATACATCTAAGACATATACTATATATACATAGACATATATATACACATACATACATATATTTAGATATCTGCCGTCTTGCTCGCACGGCAGCCGAAATGCTCATTTTGGTGGGAATGTCAATGTCGGTGAATCGAATGCGATTTCTGATCATTTGTTAGTTATTTTATATCTGCTTAAAAGACAATTCCAGCAAAATGTGAATGAATATGGTGACTTTAGATCTTCGACGAGGCAACGAGGCGAACACATTCCACACTAGTTAAATG